ACACCCATATAGAGCTCCAGTAAACTGAAAATGAGCATTCTTAAAACTCCAACTTGGTGAAATTCTGCAAAGAACTCGATGCAGCTGAGCAGAAATATCTACTGAAAAATGGAAGGTTTTACACTTCCATACTCCTAATTTTTTCCGAAGTGCTGGGTGTTTTTGGAACTTTTGGAAATGTTAATCGCACATTGTATATGAGTGATCCATTTCCTTGAAAAAAATATCCCCGAGCCTGTGCAAGAGGGAAAGCAAACAGCACAGTTGGAAGTACTTGTCTGTTCCTCTTGTATATAGTTTCATTTTCAGAAGTTAAATTCTGTGGATTACAACTACAGCTTAGCTCCAAGTTAGTGTTCTTAGTACCACAGCATTAGTTACACTTGAGAAGTTGTGGAAAAAAGGCCTTTTCTTGACACAGTGAGACTCACTGCTATATAGTTTGAGAACTCTGGTACTACAGCCAATAGAGCTTATCATACATTGAAGATTACTGATGTAAGCAATTATTTGTAGAACTGTGTCGCTAATGCAGGGTTCTTTTTTGCAGTGTGATTCACAGAAAACACATGCTGCATTTTTTAATGATAGATTTTCCACAAGAATGAGAGAGAGATCTTAAAGGGTTAATTGAAATGAGTCACTTTTAAAATACTGTAATCCCATAATTTTGCACTATGCATTATTTTCCATGGCAATGGAAATACTCAATCCATGGCAAATTAAATATTTGCTAAATCTTTTGGATAACAAGCTATATTATTTACAGTTCCAAAGAACCACTTGGAGATGAAGATACTCAAAATAGCCTTTTACCCTTATGTGCTGCAAATAACAAAACAGACACGATGTGATAGCTATGTGATCATACCTCCTGATGTTAAAAATAAAAATAAAATCAGCTGTCAGGAATCCTGAAATTAATTGGAGCAGTGAGGAGCTGGCAGATAGATAGTGTTTAGCTTTTTCTCCCTGTGCTATTTCCTCTGTATACCACAAGCTGTACTATTGCCCCAGTCACATACTGCTCTCATGTGTCAACAGGGGAGGTCTTTGTGCATTGGGTAAGGTAGAGGGAGACAAACACCCCTGGCCTAGTGAGTCCATTGCTCTTAGCTACCTGTGGGGGATGCAGTTGTAGGGCCAAGCCACTGAGACTCTTCTCATACACCTGGCTGCAATCTGCTCCCCCCCGCAAAGGCTCAGGGTTTCTCAGATCCTGGTGCTTTCTTTGAGGTACACAGTGCTATTGCAAGTTGGGGAAGGCAACATGCAGTTGAGCCAGTCACCTCACAACCTATTCTTTTATAAAAAGTTTGCGTAGTCAGCTCCCTCCTGTTTGTTAGTCCCCTTATGAGGCCTCTCTTTTCCAGGCGGCATTCACATTGGTATTTTTGTTTCTCTGAGGGTGATTGAATATGCCCTGGCTTCAAAACCGATTCTTCATCACAGCCTTATGCCTCTGTGATGTAAGTGGTACAGATTCAAAGTTCAACGTTCATATGCCATTCAAAGACTGATCAATGGGAAAGGGGCACTAGGATCTTATTCCAACTCCCCCTGTCTGTGACCCATGGACACTCACGGGTTTTTGAACTTGCAGCCTATTGTTGGTGGCCAGCTGTTCATTCACCAGGATGGATCATGGCTGATCAGGTGGCTGGGTACTAAGAGAAGCCCTGGGGGGCTTGGGGCCACCCCTTAATACAGACTCACTATTTTCACATTGGCGCTGTTACTTCTGCTGGTACAGGGTGGCTTGGAAAATTTGTCACCTTCTGATCAGGTTTGAGCTTGCAAACTTGGATGGAGTTCACCTGCAAGAAAGTGACAATTTACATTTGATTGGAAGATCTTTATTCGGGTCTCTGCATTGGCCGCGGAGGGAGGTTGGGTTGCTTGGTGTCAAACCGTGGTAGGTCCTGCCTTGTGGCAGAACTGGCATTGGGCAGGGTCAACACAGTATAGGGTGGTCCCCATAAGGTGCCCGAGTGGAGTATTTACTACAGCAAACCCAAGTGTGTGTTTGTTACCTGCAGGGCTTTTTTCAGCCGGAACTCACTGGAACTCAGTTCCGGCACTTCTCAGGTGAGCGCCATTGCCATTATAAGGAAACAGGAGAGGCATTCATGGTTAGTTCCAGCACTTCTTTTTCTAGAAAAATAATACTGGGTATCTGCCTGGTTGGAATCTGCATCCTAATCCCCCAGTGAGACCCTGCTTGCTTGGCTTGCACCATGGCAAGGTTCAACAGTGGCCAACTCCCATGGTACAGGTTTGGAGTGACCCAACCCCAGTGGATCCATTCCGTCAACATGGGGCTTGCAGAATGATGAACTGATCCTGGGACCCAATGCCATGCCATCCCTTGTCCTGCCTGCTGCTGTCAATAATGATTTGGCCTGAGTTTATCCCATCACTGTTGTACAGTATGGCTATTTTGCTGCTCTCATGGGTCACATAATGTGCCTGCCTGGGCAATTCCATTGGAACTTCCAGGGTTTCTGATAGGGGTCTTTCCCAGCCCAGATTGAACCTGGGACCTTCTGCTTTAGCACTGAGCTACAGCCCTTCCCTAGATGTAAAGTAACTCAAAATGACAGATGGGTGCGTGAGGGTATAAATTTGTTCAAGAGATTTTTGGGACGCAGGGTTAGGTTCCTCCTCCCCTAAAATGGAAAAAAAAGCCCTTTTCTCTGTCACATTCTGAAATACCTCCATATTTAAGTGAAATACAAAGTGGCTTCTAGATTTTTGTTCCTTGGTTACATCTGGTTGCTGTTTCTCTGTACTCAGCTTTGTGAATTCCTTGAAAGCGAACATATGCGTTCCCTGAGTCAGCTTGTAGGTTGCGCCTCAAAATGAAGCAAAGCATAAAGAGTGCTGAAGAACAAAATTACGGCTGCATCGTTAATGTGTTTTGTTACCAGTGAGAATTTAGAATTTAGTCATGATTCCTTTTTTGTCTTGTGACCTGTCACAAATAATAGATGTTGCCCCAGGCCTACTTTTAATCATGTTTCATTTGTTCTTCAGTACTGCTTGGCTCAGGAAACTGACTCATTTTGATGGTTCACTTACAGTGGTGACAGGAGTATTGACCTTGTTTATTTATTTAGAACATATCATGCCCAGAAAATCTCAAGGCAATATACATAAAACATTTCTATCACCATCCAAGAGGCGATGGAGGTTGTCATCCTAAACAAATTTAGTGAAGAGTATGTTGGGATTTGCTGGCAATGGCCTAGATCCAAAGAACTGGGTGACAAGTTCTACAGACTGTGAGAGAACTTAGACTTTCCTTGCTCAAACAGTACCTTCTGTGAGCTGTGCCACCATGCTTTTGCTGTATTTATATTGGTTTTAACGCACATGTTGCCAGAGTTATATCCTAATGATTACAAATCCAAGAAGCATCCTCCAGGTGATGTGACGGGTCAGTGCATCTGGCTGTTAACCAGAAGGTTGGTGGTTTGAGCCCACCCTGGGATGGCTGTGGGCAGGATTCCTGCATTGTACAGTGTTGGTCTAGATGACCCCCAATGTCCCTTCTATGATTCTGTGAAAAGGTGGTTTCCCTGAGGATCTGGTTACGTGCAACAGAAGACTGTCTTTTTAAAGGCCATCTCTTGCAACTCTGTATGTCATCTGACAATTCTAGAAGCAGCAATCAGAGGAACTGAGGGTTATGACTCTCTTTCCCTGTCCTCAGCTGCCAAACTTGTTCTGTGGCTGCTCTGTCCATGTCTTAGTACATATGCTACCTTCATTTCCACAGAAGAAGGGAGGGGATAGGTAGACAGCTGTACTCTGTTCTCATCTTTAAGAGAAGCGAGGGATGGATATAACTGTGTTAGAAGTTTAACAACTCATAAAATGGACCATTTTGTGCGCTCTAAGTATTGTTGGTTTGTGCAATAAAACAGATAATCTGAAATCTAGAAATTCATGTCCTGCAGTCATTGTAAGTTTCTTTCATAAATTCTTTATTGACGTCTCTGAAAGTAGATAAGATGAAGGGATTTAATTCAAAATGAAGTTGGCCAAGCTTTGGGCATTTTTATCTGGGTTTTCTTTTTGGCACCACTCTGAACAGTTTTCAAATGTTTATTAAACTGTGAGACCACCTGTTTTGAAATTAAATGTATTTGCATACAAGAAACCTATGTAGGGATAAATTTTACTGCATTTTCAAAGAGAAGAGGAAAACATATACATACGCTTTGAGAATGAGGAAAGCCTCTTGTGCTATGCCATAGAAAAGGATGAGCATGCAGGTGGGGTGGAGTCTGAGGAAGCTGCAAACGGGTGGATGCACTTTGAAAGGGCATATGTGAAGAATATTTGGAAAATGTGAACTGGGCATTTCCTACACACTCCAAAGCCAGAAGGTGGGAATCATCAGGCCCAGAGAACAAATAGAGGCCTGCAGTCCTGTCTGTTTGACTCTTGGGTCTCTCCCACAGACAGCAACTTCCATGAAAGCTTTTGCCTAGCTGAATGTGTCCCTGATAAAATCTCTTGCTTACATGGAAAGAGAATGGCATCCCTCTCTCTCTGCAGAAACCTCTGGAATATGCTTGGCTGGAATGTAAGAGTCACAGAGCTGGATTCAACTAACCCGTTCTGCTAGCAAAAGCCAGTGTATGGACCCTAGCTAGCACAACAGGGCTCTCCCACCCCACCCCAAACTTGTTCCCCCTGCCTAACTGAAATCTGCTCTGGAAGGTTTGGAAAATCCTTATAACAGCATATGAGAGGAGAGGTGATATTGTTCCAGAATAAATGTTTGTGCTGATCTCCTTAGCACTATATTGAATTTCGCCCACAATTTTTCATCTTCACTGTTCATTTCTTACTTCATATAAGGCAGAGTTACTCCTAAGCAAGTGTGATTGGCTTTATTGGAGTGTGTCTACAGCTGCTTATTAGAATCATAGAGCTGGAAGGGACCATGAGGATCATCTAGTCCAACCCCCTGCAATGCAGGAATCTTTTGCCCAACGTGAGGCTCGAACCCACAACCCTGAGATCTCATGCTCTATCGATTGAGCTGCAAGGCTGTTATTAATTAATTAATTATGTGGCTGTTGATCATTAAAATCCACTGGCTGCCTTACAAAAACAAAGCAAAACAAAAAACCCTTCATCCAATAGTTAAGGATACAACAATTAAAACAACATAGTAAAATAAGATCAGTAAAAACAACCTCTCCCTATCTACAGAGGATGTAAGTTTGACAGAGACAAGGGCACTAGCTACATTTTAAGGTTCTCTATGCGATGCATGAGCATTCTAACCTTAAATTGCCTTAAGCAGATTTTTTTTCTAAAGAGAAACTTAACTTGCAGCACCTGTCTAACCAATGTAGGGAATGTCGTTATCTTTCAGTCGGTGCCATTATATGTTTTACACCAAAGAAACAGCAAACAGTAATTAAACACAGGATTTATGTTCCCCATATGCATTTTATAAAATAGGAAAGGTTGCCTTGGTAAACACTTTCCTCCCCCTATTGCAGCTGTAATTTACTTTACCAGAATGCCTGAATTAAAATGAATGCAGCTACAGCAAAAAAAAATCCTAGATTGACAGCAATTCAGAAGCAACAACTTTATTCATAAAATTTAGACACTTGTTCCTTGTTAATCCTCCAAACACAACATCTGGATTTTAATCTTCAGGCTAAAAGGATCACAGATGTTTTGAGAGAGAAGGTAAAAACAACACAATATTTTGATAAATTAGAGAAATGGGCACGATGTTGCAGTTATTGTAGTTAAAACCCAGAAACGCATGACAAGAATGAAGCAACAAACACATAAGTACAGTTTGTGGAATGTGTGCCTAGGCATTTAATTAACAAAGGTAGTACCTGGTGCCAAACAGAAGTCAGGGACAAAATAACAATGACTGCCTCTGAATGTGAACATCACTTACTGCAATAAAATAAAATAAAATAATTTTAATCAGATCAAACCTTGCTTCAGATCTAGGCTTGATTACTTGTACTCGGGCCCAATTTGTATGCGGATTATAGTAACATGTTGGGTTACCCTGTGAAAATTGAAGGGGATCATGGAAAATCAGGGTTCAAGATAATGTGGGGAGCCTCCAGGAGTACAGGCTTCCCTGTTTTACCCTCTGAATCATGGAGGAACAAAAGGGATGTGGGCAGAGCTAGTTCCCACTCTCCATCCCATCATGTGTTTGTTTAACTCAAAATATGAATGCTTGAATATGGCTTTTGGGAAACTGTCCAAGCACAACATTCTATTGCGTGGCGATTTCCTCCCCCTCCCACAGAGGGAATAAATAAAGACACATGGACACCAGAATTTAGGTTAATGGGCGAAAAATGGCCACTAGCCTCCATAGGTTTCGGACGAGGCGACGCCCCCCGGGGGTCCTTTATCGAACTACCCTTCAACATTTGGGGGAGGTGATGGTGTTCCTCTCCCCCAACTCATTTGCATAATAATACCCCTGCCAATGTCTAACCGCCCAAACCAAAGGTGTTGTGACGTTTTGCTACGAGGTAGGCGAAAAAAGCAAGTGGCTTCCAAAAAAATGCCAATTAGCCAAGTGGAAAAACTCCTACCAGGCCCCTTGCGGCGACCAACCGAAGTCCATAGCAAAGTCCAAATGAAAACCTAGAGGGTGGGTGGGTGGGAAACTGCGGCTGGCTGAAAGAAAAGAAAGGGGCGAGCACGGGCTGCCCCGACCTTAAATGAACTCTACTAAGCCTGCCCCCACCGCCAGCCGATTGGCTGGCACGCTGAATGATGACTCCCAGGATTCCCAAGTCCCACGGGGCTGCAGCCAGCCCCGTGAGGATGTAGGTGGGGCGTGAGCCCGCAACTCCCCCCTCCTTATGTCGGGAGTGGCTTTCTGAAGGCCCTTCTTCAAGTCCCCTATCAATGGATGGACATTTGTAGTAGGACCTTCTTGCTTGTGGTATCTGGAATGTGGACTAGTCTCTTTAAGAACAACTAAGTCAGTTAGCTTGGTCAGTTAGATAAGGTTAAGTTCAGCTGGTGGTTGTTGCACATATACAGATGTGGTTCTTAATTAAGTAGTTGGTTGTGGGCATCTGTTGTCTCGAGAGACAATGGAGTACGCTTCTGGAAGTAAAGTCAAACTGCTGCGTTAACAGCACCGAAGTGACCTTCCCAAGGCACAAACCTGGACAGTGTGTATGGAGGTCCTGGGTGGCCCAGACAATGTGGTCTAAAGGAAAGCAGAGCAATATATTTGGCACCAGTTAGCCTTCAGGAGTTGCTGGAAAGAAGCATACAAAATACCATCCAAATGTCTTAGGGATTCCACTTCAGATTTATGTACAGTTTACTCCTTAGCCTTTTCTTTTCCTAAATATATATTGCAACACAGCAAAGATTTAAGATCAGAGTTTTCCTTTTGCGTGTGTAGGTCCCCAAGCCACCCCTCAAAATAATTTACAAATCACACGTAATTTTAGTTTAAGGTTTTTGGCACTATTTTGGCCACAACTTTATTAAAACACAAAATGTGTGAGTGGTTGCTTAGACATTGGTTATGACTATCTGTCCCCCCGCCTAGGACAGAACTGACTTTCCGAACTCCATCGGAAGCCAGTGAAGGGAAAACTTTGTTGGGGATCAGTTGAGCTGAGCGTCAGTCCCTCACCGCTCACCCAACCAGCTCCCCAAGGCTTGCCGGCCCTGGTCCCATTTCAGGGACTGGACGAAATAGTGGCAAGCCCCAGGATTCCTTTAATGGAATTCCCTTCAAGCACCATTGGAGGGGCAGGCACAGCCTATCCTGACCCCTCCACCACCATTTTTATAACCAATGCCTAACCGCAACCTTACAAGTTGTGACAAATTGCTAAGTAGTAGGCAAAAACCAAGTGGCACCAGCCAATCAGCCAAATGGCAAAATTCCTACTAGGCCCCTGCCCCAAGGCAGATGACCCCATGACAGGCAAAGCAAGGTCAACCGAACACAGGGCGGGCACGCGGGTGATCTGATGCACTCCACGAAAGAGAAAGCAAAAAGCAGTGTGCCCCAATATTTAAAGCCTATGGTCCCACCCACCCAATTTGCTACATACAATTTGCCCCAGCAATCCGGTCAGCCAATCGTTGCGCCAGGCAATAACTATTAACCTGCCTGGCAACAGAGGGCTGGCCTGGCGGCCCACACCACAACACGTGCTCTCATTTTAGGGAGAACACGCTTTCCTAGATAGACTCTTCCCTCCCCACTTCCTTCAGTTACTAGAGGACTAAAGCTGTCACACACATAGAGAACTTTCTCCAAGGCCTTCCCCAAGTCATATACTACAGACACGACTCCTCTCCTTTTTCTTCCACCCCCCCCTTCCTTCTTCCACCCCTGCTTTTAGAACCTTCGGAAGCAGTCGATGAAAACAGAGTAATGATAGACTGCTGCACATAAAGGGAATGAAATAAATATACATTACTTAATTAATTGATTAAACAAACCCTGTTTTTTAAAGAGCAGCCCCCATTACAAATAGCTTCCAAAGCATCTTGGATATTTATTGCCAATTTCCCCCAGTCAAGGAACCAGTGATAACCATGGATTTTTCTCATCCCTAGTTAAAGCCATTTAGAGTTAGATAAGACCTGATAGAATTTCTTTCTACAAAGACAGCAAATGAATAAGATGGACACAGAAATAAAGCTTGAGTGTCTGTGTGGAAATGATAGCAAGATAAACATCCTTAAATTTAGTTGGGAAGAGAATAACAGCACAGAAATTAGGCTGCCTGACAATAAATGGATCAAAGAGCTGTATCATTGTAGAATATTCAGTGCCACACAAAGACTGAATCTTTTGTCATAAATTCTGAAGTAGATATAACATTGCAGAAATCATCATTTTTTTGGGGGGGGGGACATTTTATTTTAGGAGAGCTGACACTAAGCAATATATCCAAGCCCAACTGAAACTTTGGCTTATGAACAGATACCGTATAGGGATTTCTATAAATTGTGCTAAAACTGGGGTCTGCAAAATGGCGCTTATGGAAACCACATGGTCTCAGACACTTCCCATGGAGCTTGCCAAGGCCTCCTGCCCCTCTTTTTTTTTTTAACATTAAGGCACACAGATACCGTCACTCTCTTACCTTTTTTTTTTGCCTCAGGGTGGTTTCTGGACCCACGACAGATCCTGTTGTTTTAGGTCTAAGCATAAACAGTTTTTCTTCTGTGAAATGAGTATTTTATAGGTGACCACAACAGTTTCCAAATGTATCCAATGTATCCATGTGCCTCCTGTGCTAGAGATTACTGATGATTTCTGTCACTAGGGGGCATGTCAGAAATCAAATGAATGTCAGAATTATACAACTAAACACACACACACACACACACACACACACATATCCAAGTAAGACAACAGGTTCACTTATTCAGATATCAAATTAAACTAGAGCTGATACAAAAAAAAGAACTCAGACGTCCTGGACCCTTGCTCCAATTTTCACACAGAATTATAAGTAAGCCTGAGACTGAGTCAATGCTGCTGCAGAATGTTCCCTCTCATAACTGTTCCTATAATATTGAATGATGATCCTCCTTGGGATAGTTTAGTGCTGATGCTGCTCCTGACTCAATGCAGATGCCCTAAGTGTGATTGCAGCCAGCTGTAGGGTAGATCATACAGATCATTTCTTCATTGGATAAGCTGTCATCCCTGCTGTGTAGCGCACTTATGGAAAGGCTCAGTTTCACAAACAAATGGGAAAATCTGTCAATTTCCCTCCAGTTTTTCCAGCCTTATGTTTGTGGCCTATTTCTGTATCTATATACATTTAAAAAAACAGAAAAACAAAAACAAACCAAAATGGTCTGTGCAAAAAATAATGCGCATTTCCATGCACATTTCTCATAACATACACATTTGGCTCACTATGCTTAATAAAACATTTAGAAATGTGTTTTTTCCCCATACTTAGTGATTTTTCCACAGTACATTCACTAATATACACATTTTCTCACATTTCTTTGTTTGTGACCTACGTTGCAAGTTTTGGTGAAAAATTGACATTTTTGCAGGATAGCTTTGTTTTGGTTCATGTGTCAGTTTGTGATATGTGAATTAGGTGGGCATTCTTTAAATTGAAATGGAAAAAGAAATCTCCACCACACCTAGTTGCATTGGTGCACACAGTAACTGGGGCAGCTTTAGGTAATTACTAGAGTATGAAAGTGCATGTGTGCCACAACAAATACAACATATGATATTTATTTCTAAAATGGTCTTCTAACACACAACAGTGGAACTTTATCTGGCTTTTATAGTCATCTTGGATTGGGATCAGAAGCCACTGCAGATTCTGCCAAACCAGGATGTTCTGCTTAATACGGGACACTTGGAGGGCATGTGAATGCAACCAGAAATTAGCTTTCTGATTTTGACCAGAGTCCATCTAGTTAAATCTCCTTTGTCCTACAGTTGCCTCCCTAAGGCTTCCAAGAAGTTAACAAATAGGGCACAAATAGTTCCACTCCCACACCATTTGTGCCTGAGAAACTAATAGTCAGAGGCTTACTACCTCTGAATGTTTAGTTCTCTTAGCAAAAGGAGTACCTACGAAGGAACAGAAAGCCTGGCTTCAACTCAATTATTCAGGCTTAGATGACTGTACAACTTCTTCTGCAATTAAATGAAGTGTAAAGAATTCATTCAGCTCCTCCACTCTTTCCCTGTCCTCCTTTAGCATCCTTTTGCACCTTTGTCATTGAAACAGTCCACACCTGCTAGAAGCAGGTATCCAGCTTCTGACAGATTTAAAGAAATGTTAATTAACTTAACATTTCTAGCAATGTGTTCTTCAGATTCATTTTTGTTGTTTGTCTCAAATGCAACTTACACTTGTAAGTTCCTTTTTGTTATCTTACTTGGGCAAGACTCGTACTTGGTGATTTGCAGAGCATCCTTTATTCTGCTCATTAACGACACTGACCTCCTCCAGTATTAATCCATGGCATTCATTCAATCCAAACTTCTACTATAGTGGTTTTAAATAAGCTTCAAATGTCCTGAAAAGATGTCACTTTCTTGACTTTCCTTTTCAATTCCCTTATGAGGGATTACCTGAGATTTGAGAAGTTTCCGCTCTTGAAACTAGATATAACTGTGTTGAACTTTCAGAGCAACGTTCCACTTATAAATGGATGAGTCAGTAGTCATCGGTTTCTACACAATGGCCAAATTCTGTGATGTGAGTGTGTATCCAGTTACTGTAGTCATAGAGTGGAACTAATGCTACCGCCATCATAGGAATTGGAGCATCAATATATATTCCACCCACAGGAAGCTGCTCAGCACAAACACAAGCTCAGCTGGGGCAAGGATCTAGTCTGCTTTTATGGGTTTTTCAAGAAAATCATGCAGGGTCAACTCATGTGCAAACTAAAATGGAAATGAAAATTCCTCTACGGTTTGCAATCTTCTTTGCACGTTGCAAAAGTGGGGAGGCATGATTTGTCATTTGGGACAGCTGCCAGTCAATTTAAATATATATGAAGAATGTCCCTAGGAATGACACTACGTCATCACTACTGGGACATTCTCAGTGAGAAATGTCCTGGGACTTGCTGTTTGTTGCAATTCTGTTACTGCTGGGAGTGGCAGGAAAGCTTTTTACCCACTGTCTCTCTACCACAATAAACTCCTCGCCCCAGAAAGGATGAGGACCCTTTGTGTAGCTAAAGTCCCCAAAGTATCTCCCATTTTCACAGGAGACCAGTAGCCTGGTGAAAGTGGAGTTTATTTTCAGTCAAGCATTTGCATGTGTCTGGCATCCTCATCAGTAGAAATCAGAATTATCATTACACTTTTTTTTCGTGAATGGGGATTTCCTTGAGAAATATTTTAGGAAATAATTGGTTTAATATATGTTTTCTTTTATTGTGGAATGTTGCTGAATTGTAATTCTAAGTTTTAAAATTCTGTATCGTTGTTCCTTTTCTCTTTTGTTTTTAATTGTGAGATATTTTGGACTGGCATTTGGTTAGAAAAGCTGCTTAAAATATTATAAATAAAAATAAAAATGTATATCACAATAAAACCTTAATTAAATATGATGCTGTTACGAATAACCTTATGCCACTGCCTACTTAGATTTTTGTAGATGGAAGGACATTATAAAACATAGTTTCAGCTAGCCAAAATAAGTATTAGTTTTGTCCAGCACTGCAGAGCCTTTTAAAAATAACCCTTGTTTCTGCCCCCCATCATAGATGTTGACAAGTTGAATGAATGATTCCAAATAACCCAAGGTTAAGTATTTCATGTACAGTACTTCCCATTCTTATAACATAGCAGTTCTATCCAGAAATATCACTGTAATCATTTGATTAAATGATTGAGTGAAACACTCATTCTGTAAAATGACTAAAAATTGCACTCACCGATCAATGATGGGTTTTACATTATGAACAAATGGACATGTTAAAATATAATGAAATGTAATATCATGCTGTATAAGTACATTATTAATTGTATGAAATGATAAAAATTGATCACAAAGTGGGCTACATGTCCCATATTTATTCTGAAATATATCATTATATGAAAAGGATTATGTGAAAGAAAACTGATGGGCACTGAGTTAGTTTTGGTTGCAATTAGCTGCGGTTTGCCAAATTCACATGAAAAATGCCCTAGTATAATAATAAAAAATAGCATTTAAGTATCGTAAGATGTATTTTAAAGAGTAAGTACTTAACTAACAGGGTTCATGGACCTCTGAAGCCAGCCTTTATAGAGTTCTTGCTGTAAAGTACAAATTAATTAGATATCAAAATGCCACCTGCAGTGAATAAAATCCCTAAATACTTAAGTTGGAACAGTGCATTAGCCAAGGTATTTAGGGGAACAAATTCTTCTGTAGTACTCTTCTTATAAGTAGCAACAGAAGGCTGAAAAGGATGCTGCAGAAATGATTAAGATCCTCATTGATGAAATTATTTATCAGTACCTAAAGTACAGGACATTTCCCTGTGGTTCTTAGCTAGTTCTTAATTATAGTCACCTATCCATGCACCTACAAAGATGGGGGGCGGGGTCCTTGCTGAAATCCTGATTATGTTCTTATATGAGACCAGTTCATAGGATAACCTTCACTACCACATTCTTTCATAAATTGCATGGGGAACCTCCATGTGAAAAATATGCTCTCTACTTCATAATTTATGCCCTACCCCATGGATGGCAGAAGTATATAACTTGACAAACCCGTCCATACGGATGTTCTACCCCCGATGGGATGGAGGGAAAAGTAGTTATATCCAAGGTATTCTGACACTCAAAATCAATATAAAATGGCAGTAAGTAAGGTGCTTTCAGATGTCCTTCATGCAAAATTGAAATTGGGCGTCTTAATTCTAGCTGCTAGTTGATCTGCTAGTATTGTTTCTGTATTGCATTGAGTCAATCTTCACTTTCATTTTGGTACTGCCTTTGAAGTGACTTGTAAATCATCCAAGTAAGCTGCAGCAAAGCCATTTCCGCCTTCGGAGGAGAGGGGGTTGCGGGCGAACCCCTCCCACACACGCGGGGGCCGGCCTTTGCCCCCGCGAGACCTAGGGAATCCCCGGGCGTGCCTACGACCCGACCCGCCAATCGGCGGGCCGGGGAGGCGTGGCCTGACCTATTTAAGGCCAGGTACGCCCGGGGACCGCCCTCTTTCCCCCTCGCCAGCTGAGCGGGTATTTTTGGATAGTTTCGGATCACTGCAGCTTGCGGATAATTGTCTCGCCTCGTGACCTCGTCTATCCCGAGCCACAGCACGGATTACCCAGCGCGGAGCCTCCACCGACCTTAGAGGGAGCTGAACGGCAGCGAGTCAAAAAGAGCTGACATCGCAGCGATTCAAAAAAGAGCTTATTTCATTGTGTGCGTGCTGCCGCTATTTTCGGCTGCCTGGTAGCCCCGGTCATTCCGGCGGCTCCGACGCTGCTTCCCTTGGGGCTGCGCGCTCACCTTTCTACCCACCTCCCAGCTAGCGGAGTTCCGCTGGGGTTCGGTGCCACCTGCCCCTGTTTCGGCCCAGGATTCCGGATCGGCGGGACCCGGAGCGCAGGCAGCCAGGAGGATCGAGGTTTGGCTGTTGGGTTTTCTTCTCCTGTTGTTTTGCCCGTGCCTCTGTGGGGAGGATCGAGGTTTGGCTGTTTGGTTTTCTTCCCCTGTTGTTTCGCCTTTGCTTCTGCCGGTTCTGCCTTGGGGGGGTGTTCAGGGTTTTTTGCATTGTGCTGGTTTGCCGTGGTACGTGGGTGAGTGATTTGGCCGAGGGAAGTTTAGATTCGTTGCCAGGGCAACGGCCTTTCCCTTGAGCCCCTCTGCAGACCACGTGGTGCGAGCTAGGTTGCGTCCGCCATTTTAAGTGAGTCATCAGGCCGTCCGCCATTTTGAGTGAGGCATTCAGCCTTCGCATTCGATAGCAGGCGCCATCTTGGTAAGGGCCACGTGGATAGACTCGAACAACCATTTTGGGAAGGTCTAAGTTTTCTCCCATTATCCGCACCCCCCTTCGCAAGCGGCACAGCAATAACGCCCCTTCCCGAGGTTCGGCTGCAGCCTGGTTTAACGGGTGGAGAGCTTCTTCGCTTCCCTTTGTTTTGCGTCTGGCTTATATCGGTGTTTGTATTTGCATTCGCAGGGCTTTTATTGTGGGGCCAGGGCTGCAGGGATAGTGGGGCTATTTCCTGAGGAGTGCAGCTTCTTCCTTTCTCTGTTTTTCGGTTGCCTCGGTAGCTCAGGGGGTAGCGGCCACTGATTACTTAATTAAATCCGGTAATTCTATTGCAGGCTCCTGGAATCTAGCAGATTTGTGTAGAGGCCCTGAGAAGCATCATTGCTTGGCTGTTTGTGGTTGTGAACCATTCAATAATTTTTCCTTTTTCTTCCTTTCCTTGGGCTTGTTTGAGTTAGCAGTCTCATTAACATAACAATTCAATAATAGTCTTAACCATAATAATAATAATAATAACAATATTAGTAATTATTACATTATAATATTAACTACAGTAATAGCAATAATAAACAAAATACAATAAATATAGCATATATACACATACATATACATATACATATACATATACACATACATATATACTTATACCTGTTTTGAACAAAATTAAAAAATAAATAGATAAATAAATAAATAATATTAGATTAAGATATAAAGTCAATTATTTCGATAGGAAACAAACAATAATTTCTTCCTTCGGACTCGCTTCTGGGGCCCCACGCATATAGCCTACAACGTAGTGACAATCTAGAGCCTTCCATTCTCTTGGTATTAGCGGTATAGAAGTAGCGAATAATCAAAGAGTAAATACCAAATAAGGCAAGCAGTTCTATAATATTTAATTATTATTATTAATAAGGTAATCAAATAAATAAATAAATAAATAAATACTTGAATAAATAAATAAATAAATATTTTAAATAATTGGCCGCGTGGCTCCTGCATAGAGCCTTAAGGGGTGTGGACAATACTGAGCTAGGCAGACCCCTTGGCGGTGTCAGAGCTGAGGCATTCCTGTTTGGAAAATACTCTGAGTTCACTCTGGTCTTTCGTATAGCTGGTCATGGCTTCTGGCAGGGAGCAACAGGCATCCACCTCGGGCAACCAGCAGGCACCTGGCGCAAGTAACAGTAGCGCGCAACCGGGGGCCATGCCCTGTGACCCGCAAGCCTTCGCTCAATTTTTCCGGGCGTTCGAAACATTTTATATGCAATGTAGGCCTGGGGCTTTGGCGCCCCCCCCATTGAACCATCACAGGAGGTAATACCAGACACTCCTCCTAACAATCAAGGACAGCAGGCAATCCCAGTCCCTGTAGGGGGCAGCGCCCGTGCAGCAACGGCAAGTATGGGTCGCCCTAATACTCGTGCCCAGGCGGCCATTACTAGGAGGGCCAACCAAAGCACCGGAAAGGGTAAGGCATCGGCGAAAGGTCCCGGTAAGGGAAAGGCTATCGCCAAAGGGTCTAGTAGCAATGCCTTCTCACAGGTGGTAGACATGCCTAGTGTGTTTCAGGAACAGCAGACCCAGCAAAGCTCTACCGAGGACAGCGAAGGTTCCGGCTTGGAGGAGGATCACAGGGAACCTCAAGTTGCACAACCAGTTGCCGAGGGGAACGCAGCCGCAGTAGAGGTGCAAGGCGGCAAACGAAAAGCCAAGAAGAATCACACGTCTGCCAAGAAGAAGAGAAGTAAGCAGTCCGAGACGGAGGACGAGTCAGGTACGTCATCTTCTGATTCGGATAGCGAGGGCCCCATGGATGGTTACTCGGTTTTGGGTGAAGGGAATCACGGGATCCCACTTTGGGCGCATGAAAGGAGAGCCAATTCACATCGTAAAACTTTCAATGGAGTGCTGGATTGGAAAGATGGGGCTCTGGTTGAGGATGTAAAGGTGGCCACCAATCAGTCCACCGATTTTATATTGGGGAATCATTTGTCACAGAGGAAGAGGAATAAGATCCTCAACGGTGATTATGTGGACATGTTTACCTTGCTCCCTCCCGCCAAACTATTAGGTAAAGGTGAAAAGAGGTGATCTTCCGGTAAAGGGAGGTACAGGACCCCTAGGGCAGAGCGAACCTTTGAGAATTGGTTAGACGGGTACCAGGTTTTCATGGGTGTTGTTTCCGCTGCGTATCCTTGGCGTGCCATGGATTTGGTTGCATATTTAGCTCATGTGAGGCGGGCTCACTCACTCGCAGGGGAACACACCGCTTTAACTTATGACGAGAACTTTCGTAGAAACGCTTCTCTACTACCTTCCACTCGATGGGACCTAACGGACCCTAACTACTGGGGCGAGGATGTTAATCCCTACATTGAAAAGAAAAACCTGGGATTTGCCAAGGCAGGTAAGACCGAGGCAAAGCGGCGGCGCCTCTGCTGGGAGTTCAACAGGGGTGTATGCGCGAGACCCTCCTGTAAGTATCTGCACGAATGCGACCGTTGCTGGGGAAATCACCCCGCCTCCGCATGTTTTAAGAATAAACAGCAGCCCTTTCGTGGGGGCAGGGGTTACTTCCACAACGCCAATAGAGGTGCCCTTGGATCCTCCCACCAGGGATCGGGGAACCGCCAGTAACTTGCATCTGGGCCTGGCCTTCTCCCCCGTCTGTCTGCAACCCCTCAAAACTTTGTTAGATCAATACCCAAATAGGAAAGCCGCGCAGTACCTGTGGGAGGGGTTTTCTATGGGTTTCAGAATCCCAGTGGCTTTTCCACCTAGCACCGGGGATCCGCAAAACCAGAAATCAGTCAGGGAGAGGCCAGAGATAGTAAGAAAGAAGATTGAGAAAGAAATTAGGGCTGGTCGGGTAGCTGGCCCTTTCTCCAAGCCCCCTGTGGAAGGCCTTCACCTATCCCCCCTGGGCATCGTACCAAAAAAGTCCCCGGGGGAGTTCCGCATGATCCATAACCTATCTTACCCAAGGGGAGGCTCAGTCAATGATGCGATTCCCCAGGAGCTTTGTACAGTTAAATACGCCTCCTTTGATCAAGCAGTAAAAATGATCCGCAGATTCGGGAAAGGGGCGCTTCTAGCTAAATGTGACATTGAGTCGGCGTTCCGCCTCCTTCCCGTCCACCCTGCCGACTTCCGTTGGCTGGGCTTCAGATTTGAGGGGGCGTATTTCATTGACAAGGCAATGCCTATGGGCTGCTCCGTGGCTTGCTCAGCCTTTGAGTCGTTCAGTACGTTTCTCGATTGGGCACTACGCTTTAGGACTGGGTCATCTGGCGTGTCTCATTACCTGGATGATTTTATTTTGGTGGCAGAAAACAGGCAGCAATGCTCCGCCCTCCTGGAGGCTTTCACAGCCCTGGCCGGAGAACTTGGGGTACCGTTAGCCGCCGAAAAAACGGAGGGGCCAGCCACCTCTTTGGTCTATCTGGGCATCGAATTAGACACCGTCGCCCAGACGTCTAGGCTGCCTAGGGATAAACTGGACGCTCTTAAGGCTCTGATACAACAGTTACTGCCACTAAAGAAAGTTACACTAAGGCAAATTCAATCCCTGCTAGGACACTTAAATTTCGCCTGTAGGGTAGTGTCGCCCGGACGCCCCTTTTGCGGCCGTCTGGCCAGATTGTCGGCGGGTCTCAAGGCCCCACAGCATAGGGTGCGCCTCTCCAAAGAAGTAAAGGCGGACCTGGGCATTTGGCTTCAATTCCTTGACAAGTACAACGGCGTATCCCTGTGGCAGGATTCCATGGCTCTCGGCACTGATTTTCAGGTCCATTCGGATGCAGCAGGTTCATTGGGTTTCGGAGTTTATTTCAGGGGGCAGTGGTGCGCCCAAAGGTGGCCTGACGAATGGCAGGGACAGCCCATTACTCGGGACCTTACTTTCCTGGAATTTTTTCCTATCTTTGTAGCTGTGCATCTTTGGGTAGACCAGTTCCGCAATCACAGGGTTTGTTTTAATACGGATAATCAGGCAGTAGTAGCGGTTCTTGCTAGACAATCTGCGCGCTCCTCCAGGGTAGGAAACCTGTTAAGGTCCTTCGTCCTCCTTTGCCTGGAACAGAATATCTATTTTTCGGCCAAATTCGTGCCAGGAAGTAATAATGACATCGCGGATGCTCTGTCTCGTTTCCAGATGGAACGCTTCCGCTCACTAGCCCCGGACGCGGAGCAATCATCGATGTCTTTCCCGGAGCATCTCTGGAGCCTTGGGAACAGGAAGTGATGAAGGGAGTATTCGGTGCAGTTGCCCCCTCCACAATTAGATCGTACACCAAGGCTTGGGCGGACTTTCTAAAGTTTCGCAGCAAAATGCACAGCTCCAGGCAGAATTCAATTCCTTCAACCAGGGAGGTCCTTCGTTACCTAACCCACTTGAAGGAGTTGGGCAGGGCACCAAAGACCCTCAATATTCAGTCCGCTGGAATCTCTTACTTCTGTAAAGCATTTTTTGCCACCGACCCGTGCGCACAGTTTATCGTGCGTAAGACTTTGGAGGGTTGGCATCGGCAACACCCCCCCAGCACCGACAAGAGGCGGCCCATAACTTTTGATATTCTGGTTCAGATACATAAGAAATTACGTGAAATATGCTGGTCTAAGTACGAAGCTCGCCTATTCTCCGCTGCCTATTCCATAGCCTTCTTTCGTGCCCTGCGCGTTGGTGAGGTAGTCTGTGAGGGAGGGGTCGCCCACGATCAGAGAGGCATCCTCTTAAGTGATTTGACCCTTTCCGAGGCCGAACTAATAATTCAAGTGCGGAGCTCTAAGACGGACCAGCGTGGTAGGGGGGCCCTCTTGAGGTTGCCAGCCGCACGAGCGATTGGTCCTTGTCCGGTGAGGGATGTGAGGCGTTTTCTCTACCTAAGACCCAATTGCCCCGGCCCTCTGCTTATCCACGTGGACGGATCGCTTTTGGCCAGGCATCAGTTTACACGGGTAATGCGCTTGGCGTTGTCAGCATGCGGGCTGCCCGCGGCCGAGTTCGCGGCTCACTCTTTCCGGATCGGGGCAGCAACCAC